TAGATATATATATAGAGATATATATAGATATAGATATAGATAGATATATATAGATATATATATATATATATATATATATATATACACACATAACTAAAAATACACATATACATAAATAATTCAATCCTAAACAGAGTCAGAGCGTGCGAGAGAGAGAGAGAGAGCGATGTATATCTGTCTCTCTCTCTCTCTCTCTCTCTCTCTCTCTCTCTCTCTCTCTCTCTCTCTCTCTCTCTCTCTCTCTATATATATATATATATATATATATATATATATATATATATATATATATATATATATATATATATATATATATATATATATATATATATATATATATATCTACAAATTACGAGAGAGAGAGAGAGAGAGAGAGAGAGAGAGAGAGAGGGGGAGAGAGAGAGATCTAAGAGAAATCTATTCTGCCATTAAATCAAGAATGCAGCAACTCCCTGTAGAAATTTTGGAGGAACTTCTCTCATGGCTTTCGGTTAAGGATCTTCTAAGATTCAAATCTGTTTGCAAAAACTGGAATTCAATAATCTCCAGCCACCACTTCATTAACTTGCATCTCAAGAAATCGATTTCGATATCTTCTTCCCGCAGTAGGATTTTCCTGCCACATGATAAAGCTTTCCGGACCGTCGAATACAGCAGAGATCCCCGAGGCGGGGGGGACCGCATCGATTTTCAGACTCTGCCGCGGCCTAAAGAAACCATCGGAACTTTCATCGGAACCTGCGACGGTCTGATCTGTTATTTAGATATCAAAACTATGCGAATTTGCGTGTCGAATCCATTTCTCGGGGTATCAAAAACTCTGGATTTGAACGTAGACACGAGATTTTGTACGACCATTTTGTTCTTGTGGTTCGGGCGAGAATCCTCCGATGATGAGTACAAGGTTGTGTTGGGGATTAAATCATACGACGGAAAATCGAACTATTCTAAGTACCATATGCATCTCATTAAGCCGTTTTCAGACAACTGCAGCTGGAAATCAACCCGAGAAGTTGATGGTCGATTAGAGCTCATTTGGTACTTTGGGGAGGGAATCCTTTTGCATGGAATAGTGCATTGTCTTTTGTATGATCGAGTAACGCATGCTGGTCCAACCGTCGATTATGTTGTGTTCACGTATGATTTGTGCCGGGAAAGTGTCGGAGAAATTTCAATGCCGGTGGGACCGCATTTTTTGCATGCGGAGATTGGGGTGATAGACGGGTGCCTTTCTGCAATATGCAATGTTTCTAGGGGCAATTCTGCAATTTATGAGGTTTGGACGATGAAGGAATATGAAGTGAAAGAGTCTTGGACTAAGTTGATGAATATATCGAGAGGGTGTGATTATCATATGTCGCCTTACTGGCATTTGAAATTGGTTGGAGTTACTGCGAACGGGGATCTCATTTTGAGTTGTTATCCAAAACATCGTCTATTGATATATAAAGTGGCGGAAAAGAAATCCGAGATTTTTACATCAAATGGTCATTGGTCTGCGAGAATGTACGTTGAGTCTCTGGTTTTCCCGTAAAAGGGCAATGCTGCAGTACACAAAAAGGTTGAATCTTTCATAAGTTTTGGTGATTTGAATATCAATATTTTTTTCTATTTGGTCTTTTTTTCTTCAGGTGCGTCTTTTTTTTCTTTTCTTTTTTAATGAAGGAACACGCAGTAAACATACGCTCTCGTATAATAGCTTACAAATAGTTGTGTGTTATTTGATTACATCTTAGGTGCACGACATGTGATATACGTTTAAGCATTTTAACTCGAAGCATGACCAATTATGTACAAAACACGCGCTTTACTACTTGTGGTATCTCTAAGAAATTCCCTTGATTTTAGTAAACTTTGAAATTTGCTAACTTAAAGCATTTGTATCTCTCGCCTAATTCGTCGCTGCAATATATTTCTGTCGTTCATAGCGCGACTCATCGAAAATATATAGAGACGCGTTTTCGTAGCTTGAACAAAGAAATACATAAGTATTGTAAACACGTACCATGGTAAGAGACTCTTGACTCGCATGTCAGCAAATACAAAAAGAGTTTAATTTCTGAGAAACAAAAAAATCAAATAACTAAATAGAGACGAAATTAAAAAAAAATAACAAAAAAGTTTAAAAAAGAAAAAAATCCTGTCTTCTAATAATCATCTAAACTTAAATAAATGAAAAATCTAAATTTAAAAAAAAAAAAAAAAAAAAAAAAAAAAAATCTAGGAATGTAGCAAAGCCTTTTGACCCATCCCCCAACCATTTTCTCTATGAGTATTTTTCTTTTCTTTTTTCTCTATGAATTTCACACAATAATTTCACCTCAACAAAAAAAAATTGACTATATATATTGCCAAAAAATAAATTTCAAGGCTCAACTTGCCGGGGACTTGAATCTCTAGACCGATGGTACGGAGGGGACGATAAAGTCGGTGAAGTACCCATGTCTTTTGTTTTATGTAATAGAAACGTTCCACATAGAATAGTCACAAAACCACAAAGTTCCGTCACAATCTGCGATGCATTCTGAGAATCCCATTCCTGAATATATATATACAACCAAGCAAAAAAAAAAAAAAAAAAAAAAACACGTCGAAATTAGTTTGACACCATAAAAAAATAGTTAAAAGGTTTTATTGTATTTAGCACCCCCTATATTTTTCTAATTGCTAGAAACACTACTCGTGTTATGTTATTAGCAAAAACAAAACCCATTCTGATTCATTTTTGTTTAGGAAACATACCCTCTGGCAATTCAGTGTTTAGGGGGTTGTGTGCTGAAAAAAAATGCATTGTAAGGGTGTTTTTGCTAATATTAATAAAATGGGGGGTTTTCAGCAATTCGATGTAACACAGGAGTACTAAAAGCAATGAAACCAAAAGAGCCATCATCAAGATTTATAGTTGGGAGACCATATACTTATGATAAAGGTCACTTTTTGCGTAAGGGATAAAGTGAACTTCATGTACTAATATTTGGGAAAATTATAATTTTCACCCTTCAAATTTGCAGTGATTTCACATTTGGTCCTTCATGTTCACAAAAAACACATTTCATCCCTCATGTTTAAATATTTAACATTCTTGGTCATTTCCTTCAATTTAATGTTAGTCCGTCCGTTAAGGCAGTGACTGACACACACTTGATTACGTTAGTACTAACGGAAAATTGACTGAAATTACCAAAAATGTTGAATATATTTATGGATATGGGGACCAAATGTAAAATCTATTTAAACTTCAGGGATGAAAACTGTATTTACTCCATTAATATTTAATGGAATTGGTCATGTTTTTGTTCTCAAAATAAGATTGATTGGGTTGGGGGGAGAGTCCAATATAGAGTTTGTCCCATGATTTTTGGTTTGCTGTAACCAAATATCAAATTTAAAGTAAAAAATATTTCATTAATCGTGGTTTGTCTTGCCAACCAAACAAGACCTTACTATTTTAGTACTAAGTGAAAATAATCATAGTCTTCATTAAGATATCAAGTTTTTATAGTGTAAGAAAATGGGAAAAACTCAGTTTTAGTCCCTCAAATTTGCACCAATTTCACATTTGGTCCCCATGTTTACAAAAAACAAATTTGATCCCTCATGTTTCAAAAATACAATATTTTCAGTCATTTGTGTCAATTTTACGTTAGTACTAACGGAATCAAGCATGTGTATATCACTGCCTTAACTGACGGATTAACGGTAAATTAACGGAAATGACCAAAAGTGTGTTAAACCATTGAAAAATGAGGGATGAAATGTGTTTTTTTAAGCACGAGGGACCAATTATGAAATCAGTGCAAACTTGAGGGATGGAAACTGTAATTTTCCCCGTAAGAAAATAAACAAGAGTAGTAAGAAAATACCTTAAACATAATCATACTGGCTACGATTGTGAGAGTTGTGAACATGACATAGTATACAGGGGAAACCACCGCAGTATTAAATGTGTCCAGTGCCTGCCAAAAAAAAAAATCATTATAGGAAAAATATCAGATATTTCAAATTTGAAAGCCCCTCATGTTTGGCAAATAACATCCACCTCCCTGAATTATGTCCAAATTACAATAAAAAAAAAAAAAAAAGAAAAAAAAACCTCTCCTCTTTAGATAATTACAACCACCACCATCAACTATATATTATCTTTCACTTCCATCCTTATGGTGTCACATTTTCCTACTGAAGGACGGGTTTTTTCGTTAGACAATACAAAGTTGAGGGGTGGTTGTAATTGTCAAACGGGAGGGGGTTTTTTCGTAACTTGAGCTTCCTTTAGGGGTAGCCATAATTTGCCCTAAATTCAATTAGAAACAAAAAATGCAACAGAAGAAACAAATTTTCAAGGCTATATTATATTGTAAGAAACTACGTAACTGTCCCTATCGATTCCGTGTGTTAAGTTAGTTATTATATACCGACGAATAGAAACTCGTTCAAATAATAATCAAAATAAAAATACCTTGTTCAGATAAATCAGCTGCATGACACAAAAAATGATGACCAAAATTGTAAAAAACCAAGTCTGGAAGTATATAAACTGATTTGATCCTGAAAATGTCAGCTTCAAAGCAATTGCAACTGCTTTCACTCCCATAACCTGCACACATAAAAGTAAGTGTTTTTTCAATTAAAAAAAAAAAAGATAAATTATAATAATGGTAAATTACGAATAACCCCTTGAACTTAGGCTAAATTACAAAAAAACGCCCCCACAATTACCAAAATCCCCCCTGACGTTTGTTTTCGTCTTACTACACCAACCCCTTATGGTGTAATTTTTCATGGAATCTTTTTTATTCCAGTTAGTATTTCCCAGAAAATGTCAATTCTACCTCAGCAAACATGGCATTTTTTTATCCTATTTCTTTAAGACAAAAATTACCCTCAAATGAGTAACGGTGTACTAAAAAGTTGTGAAAGTGTATTGAAGAACAAGTAAAGAAAAGTAGCATAAAGAAATACCACTTCTGTAGGAGTAGAATCAGCATTTTTCTGGAAATATTACTTAGAATAAAAAAAGATTCCATGAAAAATTACACTGTAAGGGGGTCGATGTAAGACGGAAACAAACATCGCAGGGATTTTGATAACTACGGGTAGTCCAAGTTCAGGGGGGTTTTCGTAATTTACGCTAATAATAAATAAACGAAAGAACTAACCGTAAGAGAACCCATGAGAGAGCAAATCCCAATGTAGACAACCATATGCGTTTGTCCGTATTTCGGCACATACATAAAGATCAAAACACCGACAACCGCCAATACTACGATAGTGTAGACAATAAAACCTGTTCAAACACAAATATATTTTGTTACATAGGTTCAAACAAAAGACTATAACAAAATAATATTTGATGTAGCAAAATATTTTAAAATTATGCGTAAAAGTATTTATTACCGGGCTCGGTAGCGAGATGCCATACTTGCTTAACGGATTCAATATCCTTCTCGAAGGGAGCGTGTAAAACGATGGCAACGGACCCCACTAAGCAGAGTATACAACCGACAACTCCGAATATATGCAGACGCTCGTCCAAAATGAAGTGAGCTAACACTGCACTGCAAGAGAATTTTATTTGTATGTTTACAACATAAATCATTATTTTAAGTTATTCTGCTTTTATATATAAGTAGCTCTTGGCGGTGATTATGCGTCGATATATACCTGAAAATGATACTTAAAGCTCCGAGTGGAGTTACGAGAATCGCGGGAGCGTATGCGTAGGCCGCAAAGTTTGCGCCCTCTCCGACAAACACTGCGTAGAAACGAAGTTGAATAAAATATTTTTTTCGAATTTGATAAATTGGAGTATGTATAGAATTTCTTACTAGTGATCATTCCAGCCCACCAACAAGGTTCCTTCAGATATGAGTACCCTCCTTCACCTGATAAAAAAAATATATTAATCTTATTTTATTCTTCATATATCTATAATTCCAATAAAATAAAATCCAAAGGAGTCGTGTTATAACATAGGGCAAATTACGGCCGCCTTTGAGATATGCTCAAATTACGAAAAATCTCTCATGCTTGGATATTTATAATCCCAACCCCTCAACTCTGTATTATCTTACGAAAAAACCTTTCATTCAGTAGGTAAACTTGGCCCTGAAAGGGTAAACGTGTAAGACAATACATAGTTGAGTGGTGGTTGTAATTACCCAACCAGAAGGGATTTTTTCGTAATTTAAGCTTACCTCGGAAGGTTGGTTGCGATTTGCCCTATACCATACATTACTGTTTCTCACCTACAAACTAAAGAAATTAGACTTAATATTCAACCAAATAAAATCATCATATTATAACCATAAATACCACCACTACAAGAAAAAAATGGCATTAGTGACACTTCAATTTTGACAAATGAAAAGTTGTCACTAAATGCATATATTAAGTGACAGTTTTTTTTCGACTTCTAAATAACAGCTTTTTTGTTGTCTCTTAATCATTTTTTTATTGTCACTGTATAGAATTAGTGACACCTCATTAGTGACAAGTATAATAACAGTATTTTTCGCCTAATAACTCAAAAGATTTTTTTTTTGTCTTCACGCCTTACACGAAAAATAGATATTTATCCAAACATTTTTCATACCCGAACAAATGAAAAAACGTAAACAGTTCCCGTCAGTTTGCTCTACCTAACAATGATACATACACCTTGTCCTGATCACTCAAACATATTAAACGTCCTTATATGACTTTTCGTAGTTTACGTTATTCAATTGTAAGAAAACGAAAACGAAAACGAAAATTAAACGAACACGATTTACATATATACGGATAAAAAAGAAACTAACTTGCTCGAGTTCCGGCAGCACCAGCCTTTTTGAGGCCTTTTTTCTTAATAATGAAACTGGAGCCGATGAATACACTTGAAGAAATAGCCAAAACAAATCCACGAATATTATCTGATATTCCCACCATTTCTTCAGATATAAATATTTAATTTATATGCAAATTATATCAAGAATTCCAAACCCAAAGCATTCCCTGCCCACAATAATCAATTACACAATCATCTTTTTTAAAATTAAAAAAATAATAATAAATTAATAATAATAATAAAAAGAAAAGAAAAAAAAGACCAACCTGCTGGGGCTGCTTTCTTTTGCATGAGGGGAGACAAAAGGCTAAAAATGTAAAACCACCATGGGAGAAAAGAATGAATCAAGATCAATTTTTTCCTGTTGATCAGCTTTCCAGATAATAAATTAAAGAAGCCGATCCAAAAATACTCCTCTTCTCTCTTCTTTCTCTCTCCTCGCCGATTTTTTCTCGGAAATTAATTTTTTAAATTAAAAAAAAAAAAAAAAAAAAAAAAAAAAAAGAGAATATTGAAAATACTGATTGTGAAAAATATTGCCCTCCTTTCTCTCTTTCCTCCGTCTCTCTAAAGGAAAGAATTTTGGGAAGATGTTTAGAGAGAGAAACAAGAGAGAGAGAAAGAGAAGGAAGAGAGAGAAAGGGAGAGACGAAAAGAGAAATTTGTTGAGGGCAGATAGGCATATGAAAGAAAACACTAACATGCGCCATGACCGTTACATCATCCCACAATTTATGGTGCCCTCCGAATCTTGCGTTCTCAAACACGAAGAAGAATGAATGAATTAATGCATCGTTGGTAATATCTTTGCTTTTATTATTTTATTTATTTATTATTACTAAATCTGATATATATATATATATATATATATATATATATATATATATATATATATATATATATTAATTAATTATTTCGTAATTAATAACGTAAACACGATACAGAATCTTATTTCATTAATTGATTCGCATTTTTTTTTTTTTTTGCGTAACCTAAAAAATAGGTTTCGAGATTTGATTTTGCATTGTTTAAATGCCAATTACAAGTTTCCCTGTCTCTTAACAAAATTAAACGAACAAGAATCAAAACTTTCACCAATGTTGAGGCATTCATTTATCACTTGGAGGCAATCGCCTTCAAGTATAATATTTGTTAAGCCCATCGATTTGGCCATAGAGATCGTCTTCAACGCCGCCAATGCTTCTCCTTCCACAGGTTGAAGATTTCCCTGTATGCGTGTTACTTTCCAACCGAGACAAGAACCATAACTATCCCGAGCAACCATTCCCACCGAAAAGAAACTTTCCCCATTTGGAAATGCAACATCAAAATTTAATTTAACCACATTACTAGGGGGTGGTTTCCAAACACTAGGGTGTATATCCCGCATCCTCGAATTTGGGCAAATTTGTGCAGATTTATAAGCTGCTAAAAAATGGCGGCACCAACTGACCAAATCACATGACTTAATAACCTCTTCATCTTTCATAGCTCGATTCCTGTTGTCCCAAGCCTTCCATGCAACCACCATTGCAATATTGAAATTTTCCTCATCAAGTGATTGCTTCAATTTTCTAGTCCAGTTCCATATTGATGAATAGTTGTGGCTTTCCAATGTATCAAATGGGTGACTCCGCCACACCTTCTCCATACCCCTGCATTTTAGAATGACATGTAGGGGAGTTTCTTCTTCAATGTGACACGTGCTGCAAAGGGGCGATGAACTGATTTTTCGTCGAAATAATTCTGCATTGGTTGGAATGATATTAGATTTCAGTCGCCAAAGGAACATGCGAATTTTTGGTGGGATTGGGAGTTGCCAAATATATTTCCAGTTTTGTTGCTGTACTCGGCCACTATACGAACCAGACTCATTTCTTCGACGACTTACCATAGTCATAGCGCAAGAAAGAATGTGGTGATAGCAAGATCTAACCGTGAAGTTACCGTGCTTAGAGAAATGCCATATCCACCTATCTTTTGCCATAACACTTCCCACCGGGACAGCCAATATACGTTCAACATCCACCGGCCAAAAGACTTCGTGTAAAATTTTTAAATCCCATTCGCCTGATTCTGGTTCGATAATATCCGAGACTCTATTAGGGAACCCCGAGTGAATTGGACGTCTTGTGAAAACCACGAGTTTACCACCATCTCGTAACCAAGGATCCGACCAAATAGAAGTATCCGCCCCATTGCCAATTCTTCTACGGATGCCCATCTTCAAATACGGGATTACGGTCCAAATACTCCTCCATGTTGCAGATGGACGCGACCCCAGATCCGCCGATAATAAATAGCCATGTGGAAAGTATTTAGCGGAGATAATTTTTGAAAGAAGTAGATCCGGGATTACTGTTTCTATGGAGAGTATTGATCTCCCGTTGCATTTAGCGAATATCGCTTAATAAAATTCCCTTTTATTGTCAAAAAAAAAAAATGCCAATTACAAAAGTAACCTCCCACCCATTTTAATTAGCTTATAAAGTCCTGATAACAGTGATGTTCATCATGAATTATGCGTGATTTTAAATTCAGTCAATTCTGATTCTAAAACATCCGAATTTGAGATTGTATATTTCATTATGATTTCTGATTTTTCGAATTTATTTGGAACGAAATCAGAATTGTATATAAAATTATCGGAAATTTCGATTTTAGTTCCGAATATTTCGATTGTTTTTTGAAATATATAACATAATTTTATGATATATTTTTGTAATTCAATAATATAACTTTTGCTACATTTTATATGAAAAATATAGATGCGGAAGGATCAAGTAAATTTCAACCTTAGAAAAGATTAATTAGTATCAGAAATTATCTGCTGCATTTCTCTTTATCAGAAAATGTTTGTATCAATTTGTTGTTCCTATATTTTGTTTTAATTTTTGCGTTTTGTCGAACTCTCTTTTGGACTTTCTTGCATTTTACTACAAAATTTCGAAAAACATAGAAATATGTTGTGAAAAATCTCATTGTATCTGAATTTGGAACAAGAAATTATCATAAGCTAATTTAATTTCCGAAATTCCGCCGATTTCAAGTCAATCCGAAATAGGAATGAAGTTTTGCATTCCGGTTTTTTAGAAACAGAAATGGAACCCAATTTTTACTTCCGAAAAGAATTGGAATTTTTTTGAAAAAGCCATTTCGATCTATCTTGTCCGATTTCCACCCCTAGGCGCGCTTCCAAACGAGATTGTTGCAGCAAGCTTCTTCTTTGCCGACTTCTAATCGGCGAGCTTCGGGTTAACGAGTTTCCTAGTAGCGAGCTTCACGCCCCCATCCACCTTCCGTGCTTTTTGGGCCTTTGACCCAAGACGCCCGTCTTGGCCCACTTAACCCGTTTCCACCTCATATTGAAGCCCAATTATGGGAGTGCGGATCATATTTGCCGAACTGAACCCCATCCCAGATAATTTAGACACTTCGCAATTTTCTTTAAAGTTTCCAAACAGCCATTAGTTTGAAAAAGACTTGATAAATGCGGTTCCATTTTACGAATACGGTTTTAATTTTCAAAAGTTTTCTCACTCTAGGGTATGAAAAGTTCGTATTTTTGCCTGTCCATACTCAAAACGGGTGCGAAGTAGCATGTTTCACGTCCAAAACAGGAGCAGAAAAATATTATTCCACGCCCATATTGGGCGTGGGAACCACATTTTCACGCCGAAATTATGAGTGAAACAAGAGTTCCCACGCCCAACATATGGGCGTGAATATGAGGTATGAACGAGCCAAACTCGGCTGTTTTGGTAGGCTTGAGTCCATTTTGTCGAGTCAAGCTCATCGAGAATTTTTTTTTGTTCAAGCTCGAACCCAAGATCATTTTGGCTTTTTTAATTAATTTTGTATTATTAAAAACTATTTATATTATAACAAAAAAATAAAAATAAAAATAATGAACGGTAATTATATTTTATTTTTATATGTTCTTTTTATATTATTATTATAATATTTATATTATTGCAATAAAAAATAACATATAAAAAATAATAAATATATAAAAGGAAGGCTTGCGACCCGGCTCGTGAGTTCACAAACAATTAAATAAAAGCTTAGCTCGACTCGTCAAAAATATCGAGCTCGACAAACTTGAGTTCGAGTTAGAACTTTTTTCGAGTCGGCTCAGCTCGTTTACCGCCCCTAGGCGTGAATGGTTGTCTTTTTTTTTCTCATTTAATTTTTTTTTAATTAATTAGTGATTACTTAATTATTAGTGAATAATTAACAAATAATAACAATTTTTTATTTATTATTAATTGATTAATAATTAATCAATAAATAAATAATTACTGATTAATAGTTATTTAATAATTAGCTAATGATTTATTGATAAATTTTAAGTAATTAATAATAATTGGTTAGCAATTAGCGGCCATTTTTTTCTACAATAATCCGCCCAACTTTTTTGAAAAATGGGGTGATTTTTGGGATTATTTCATAACTACAATAAAGCGTTATTTGGAATAACGCCTTATAACAATCGTCGGATTGGGCTTTGATCAACAACCCACTGTCTTGTTTTGTCTTCTAAATCGAACGGACCGGGATAGATCAAAAGATCGAACAACTGTTAAAAGGCGTGATATTGAATGACGCGCTTTAACCTGTCAGACGGTTAAACGCGTCATTCAAAATCACGCCTTTTAAGGACAGTCGATCTAATCCCAATCCAACGGCTGTGATGCACGCCGAAAATATATATATTTATCACTTAACACATTTCACTCATTTGCTCCCTTCTTCCCAACCGTAAGTTTACTTGTCCCCCCTTTTTTTGTTAATTATTATTGTTTTTTGCTAATTTATATTTTAATTGTTGTAGGTAATTTTAATTAGTTCCAGCAGAATACTTCTGGAGGTAATTTTTTTCACTCTTTCAATTATTATTATAGTTAAATACGATTTTAATTATAAATATTATTTTGTTAAATTTTGATTAATGGTGGATTAATGAAATTTTTGATCTAGTAAATTATCAATTATTTAGAGATAAATTATTTCTTGTATTAAAATATAATTATAATTTATTCTGAAATTCAAATTTTTATTGTTGTTTTTACTTGTTATAATTAGGTTAAACTTTAGCTTGTGGTGGGATTAAGAAGGGAATTTTGTTGCTAGCAAATCATAATTATTTGGAGGTAATTATTTATTATATTGTACAAATATAGTACGATTTGGGGTTGTTGTTTTTTTCTTGTTTTTAAATAATGGCTGAAATTTAAATTTTGTTGTGTTTTGATTGTTATAATTAGGGGGACACATAATTTGTGGTGGATTGAGAAGAGATTTTTGTTGGTAGCAAATAATAATTATTTGGAGGTAATTATTTGTTATATTGTACAAATATAGTAAGATTTGGGGCTGTTTTTTTTTTTCTTTCTTGTTTTTAAATAATGGCTGAAATTTTAATTTTGTTGTTTTTTTTATTGCCGTAACTAGGTGGAAGTGTAATTTGTGGTGGTTTGAAAAAGGATTTTTGTTGCTAGAAAATAATAATAATTTGGAGGTAATTATTTGTTATATTGTACAAATATAGTACAACTTGGGGTTGTTTTTTTTTTTTTGTTTTTTTTAAATAATGGCTGAAATTTTAATTTTGTTGTTTTTTTTATTGTTATAACTAGGTGGAAGTCTAACTTGTGGTGGATTGAGAAGTGATTGTGGGTGCTAGCAAATCTTTAATTATCTTTGAGGTAATCAAATATTATATAGGTTAATTAAAGTCTTACTTGAATGATAAGTTTGCTAAATTATGTAAACCTTTTATTTTTTAACGTGTTAGTGTTATATGAATGTGTCGAAAATTACGAGTTACACAATTTTTTTAGGATTTATAATTTACAAAATAATAGTTTTTGAACTATCTAATTATAAAAAATCTAACTTTGGTGTTTCTAGCTATAAAAAGAATTAGAACATATTAAATATTTCCAAATATTAATAATCTTAAAATATCAAAATATAGGGTTTTAATGGCGACTCCGGATAGGAATACTGTCAAAGTTTTCGTGTATATAGGAGGTCACATTGTTACGTTCAACATAGAGTGTCAGTGAATTATGATCAATCTCATCATACAGTCGTACGAGTTAAACGCGATATATCTTTCTCAGACTTCTTGGCCAAAATATACTCACGTTTAGGGATGGCAACGGGCCGGTTCTGGGCCGGGTTTGCCTAAACCCTAGAACCGACCCGTGAAAGTTTTTTAGAACCCAGACCCGCCCCAACCTGTATAAATATAAACCCAGACCCGCCCCGCTTGAAACCCGGATTTAACGGGTCTAACCCGCTAGACCCGATAGACACATTTCCACCAAATAAAGCAACTTTATATATTAGATTAAATTTTATAAATGCAAAAAAAAAAGAAAAAAAATAAAAAATAAATACAAAACCAACGATTGAAGTTTGAAATTCATAATGTAAATTTTTCATTGTCTCTTACAAAATCTGAATATCAAAAAAATAACCATAATTAATTATTTACTACATTCTTCAAGTTCTTCCTCCTCATCAAGTATAGTAGGACAATTTGATAAATTCTTTACTGTGAAGAAGTTGTAGCTACACAAATAAATAAAATAATTATATCATCTTGATTGAAGCATATATTATATATATTATAGTATTTAT